AGAGAGAGAGAGAGAGAGAGAGAAAGAGAGAGAGAGAGAAAGAGAGAAAAAGAGAGAGAGAGCGAGACAGAAAGAGAGCGAGAGAGAGAGAGGGGGGGGAGTTACTGATAATATTCTCCATCCAAACGTCTAGAAATAAGAGATGGTAAACTGGAGTGCTCTGACTGACCGGCGAACGAGTTAGACGTCAAGTCAAATGAACCATCCTTCGGAAAGGAAAAAAATTAAGACGACAAAGCATCCCTCCTTTTGGGTCGAGGGCTTTTTTTATCATTATTTATTAAAATGATAACATTATTATTATTAGAACAGCGGCTAGCTGAATACTGTTCCGTCGAGATGTTATTTAGGTCAGAGATGTCTATTGTGAAGTCGCCCCCGCGCCTGACACGATTTAGCTGAATCAGGGCTATTTAAGTCTACGTGGGCAAAAAGGCTGGGCACTCTTAGAAACCGGATTGTAGCCCAGCCCTGCATTCAAGTCTCTCAGCTTCGCGTTAGGGAGTCCCTCACTAATAACTGCGCTATCTTTTTTATAATGTTTTTCTTACTGTCTCTTTGTTGTGCTGTATTGTGCTGAAGAACCCACTCTCGGGAATCGCTGACAAATGCAAGTAGCTGTAACCTAATGAGGGGTTGCTGTAGTGGAAGCTTAGCCTATTATACGGAAACAATAATAATATAAGCAAGGCGAAGCAAGGCGAAGCAAGGCGAAGCGAGGCGAATCTCAGCAAACTGCTGCAAACACTAACGCGAGTCACTTGGAATAGAATCAAATTCGGGGACTTTCAATTGTTCGACTCCATTTCACTCGGTTAATGTACCAGCCAACGGCTCGTTTTCCCCAAAAGAGTCAGATAGTGGGCACTTTGTTTCTTCTTCAAAGTTCGACTCGATTTGTTCCGTTTCAGTCGGCGTGGCTGCCCTCTTTGTCGAGTCAACTAAGCTTTGTCTTCATTGACTATCGCTTCTCACGCTTGGCCGCGCCTGATTTCGCCCTCCCGGCTTGACTGTGCTTTGTTGGTGTGTGCTTGCGCTGCATCCTGTCCGAATGTGTGATGTGTAGCAATTTAACCGGCCGCGGGGAATACAATTGTTGTGAAGATGTGTTGTGGCTGCACACAGAGATGTTGTTTATACGCTACGTGTGACGTGTGAAAACGGTTCTGGGTGAATACGTACTCTTGTTTTCCAGTGGTGATACACACACACATGAGCTTGGTTCCAAGTTGCTGTTATTAGAGTCTAGTGTTATCCTGTAACTCGTGTTCTTGGGTCACTTTTTGTCGTTTTGTTGTTGTTGTTGTTGTTTTGTTTTGTTTTTTGGGGGGGTGCCTGGAGAGGTGGTGTCTTTATTATTTTTTCCTTTTAATATGTAACTGGAAACACTAGCTGGTCATATTATAATGCCGAATATTAAAGGTGTTATTAGATAGTAACATACACAAAAGGAGAGAGAAACGTCAACAACTGCTTGATTCGTTGCTCCACTATTCTCTTGTGTGCCTCTGTTCTTGCCCCAGTCGTTTCATGTACACGTGTTTAAACGTAAACTTTGCCGTGCAACTGTATTTGCTGTTCCTTTTTACTAGGGGTCCACCGTTAATTATGACAAAATTACCTTCTGTAAGTTGTTCCGGTGTTCTTTTGTGGTCTTATAACTTCTTATACAATACAATCCTTTCCTGCCTGTTGATCATCATTGTGTTTTTGCTAAGATAAATCACTGTTAAACGCTCAGAGCTTATATACTCGTTTAGGGTCTTCATCATCATCATCCGGTGCCTTGCCGACTGGCGTGGGCGATCATGGACCTCCACTTCTCTCTGTCTTGCGTTGCAGCAATATGGTGTCTGTTATTCTTGCTGCACCTAGCCATGTTGTCATCTTGTCCAGAATCTTTTCCCTCGTTTAGGATAGAGCGCAAAAAAACCCCGAATCTATTATTATCATTATTATTATTATGATGATGATTATTATTATTGTTATTATTATATCATTATTATTGTTGTTGTTGTTGTTGTTATTGTTATTGATTTTAATGTGAACCATCGGTTTCGTTTCTGAAAAAAAATACAACTTAATTTTAACCTACGTTGATGTAAACTGTTTCTTTTCACTTGAATAGTACATTATATTAATAATATGTACTTTGATTCTAGTTCCTGTCGTGAGGCAACCACCCCTCTCTCCCCTTCCTCCCCTCCCTCTTTTTTACCACCTCCCCCCTCCCCCCATGTACACTAGTATAACAACTGTCGTCTATATGGTCTGTCATGTAACCGGATTTCTTTATTTCCTCCACAGATCCCGTTTAGCATGCCTCAGCATCTGCCTGCTGTGTGCTTCTAAATTTACCC